GGTGCCCCGCGAAGAGCGACGCGAAGGGGTCCTTTCCGCGGCGCCCCCGACCTCTGCTGTCCTCCTGCAGGGGCGGGATAAATATTCAACAGCAAGGGATGCCGAGTGATTAAACAAGACTGGGGGTGTTTATTTAACGTCGGATTCAGGGGTGTGTGGATGTTGATTGATTATGAAGAACACCAGGGACGTTCTAATTTCACTTTTGGTTTTGACTGACAAGAGGTCGGAACTGTGACCCTTATGGAAACGACCGACAACTAGACACAAGAATTCACACTCAATACCAACTATTACTTCTACACGCCCATTGAACGCCAGCCAACGGTCTCAAGATCCCGAAAAGAGGCTTCCAAGGAAATTTCTAGGAACTAAGGGTCCGGGCTGCCGTCTCCATCTGGGCGGCCACTATATGATCTGCATACCATGGTGAACTCCATGTGATTGGGCGCGACTCCAACCATCGCAGACGCGTGAGGGCTGCTGACGCAGGCAGGGCCAAAGAGTGCCAACGAAAGCACGATTACAATAGCAAACGATTCTCTTGTGTGTGGCGCCCTCCGTTGCCTGCTTGTGGGGGAATCGTACGCAGCAGATTGTACCCCATCTATTTCACGGTAAGACGCGGAGAGATTGCACCCCCCCCAGGACCGGCTTTCAAGGTTCGGTTGCCAAGTGGGTGCGGAAAGCCGTCGACAAGATGTGGCCAAAACCGTGCTGGCACAATCTTGGTTGTGGAGCAATCAAACATTGAACATCGGTCAAGGGGGGGGTACCATCTCTCCGCCTCCTACAGAATACCACGGTACGGTATACGGTACGGCATACGGTACGGTACAGACAATCTAGGTTGTGGAGCAATCGAGCATTGAAAATCGGTCTAGGGGGGGTGCCATCTCTCCACCTCTTGCGGTAGCCACGCATCTTTTTCACCTCGGGGAGAAACGCCACCAGAGCTTCCACCATCTTCGCCCTGATGTACGGATTCCGCATGTAGCTGCGATTTTACCATGGTTGTGTTCAGGCAACCGTGTTTCCGTCCCATGGTACGCCGTGTTTTTTGCAACAGAGGCACCGCACGAGAAGCAGGAGCGGGGGGGGGGGGGGGGGGG